AACAACTGGTGAGATTAAAGCAAGAAGTTGAGAGAAAGCGGCTGAAATTAATCAACAGAAGGGGTGTGGTTTGTCATCATGATAACGCTAGACCTCTCACATATTTAACCACTCAACAAAAATTAAGAGTTTGACTGGGAGGTGTTAATGCATCCATCGTGTAGTTCTGACCTTGCACCTTCAGATTTCTACTTGTTTCGGTCTCTTCAGAATTCTTTAGGCAGGTTAACATCACGAGAGGACTGCCAAAACCACTTGTCGCGGTTTTTTGATCAGAAGCCCCAGAATTTCTAAAGCAATGGGATCATGTCCCTACCTACAAGATGGCAGAAAGTTATCGAACAAAATGGCACCAACATACTTTAGTTAAATGTAAATAAACTTTATTAAAAATGTTTTGAGTTTGCATATAAAATGCGAAGAAACTTTTTCCCCAACCTATTACATACATACAGCGTTCGATTACTTAGCCCAAACAATTGGACTACTCTTAATTCCCAAACAAACTGGGAATAGAGACTATTTAATTATTGCTTTACGTGACACTGATATATATCTAAATAAAAACATATAAATACTTTTTATTTAAAAAACCCTAAAACCGCGGCAACGAAATAGGAAATACGAGGGAACGCAACGCTTCCCTTTTGGAACAATTAATTTTGTCAATGTTATTTTGGGCACGATGTAATATCAATATCTCACTTCACTTGTATGATTGATAAACATTTATCACTTATGGTGCATTTTCTGAAAATGATTAACGATTTGATGTTGTAATCTAATCTATTCCATGATAAGTAAATGTTTGTTTTTTGGAAATCATAAAATTTACGCAGTCTAAGAATTTTTTTTAATACAAGTAAACCAACTTTAGATCGAAGCCATTTGATACAAGTCAATTTTTTTAAGAACGAAAAACAAAACCGAATTCAAATTCCTCGCTCTGTATTCATTTTATAATTGATTTTCAGGAGTTCCCGTATCTCCGTGTTTTAACGTAGATTGTTTTGGTAGTTGTTCTCTAGAACTTCTGGGCTTTTAGATAGTAAACCGATCATAGATTTTGAGGACCCGATTGGCGTAATGGGTAGTGAACTGTCCTGCGCCAGAGGGTGTGGGTTCGATCCCCACTACTGGGAAAAATATTGTGTGATGTACATAGTCCATTTCCAGCGTCTTGGTGTTTACATATCTATAATATGTATTTATTTATAAGACAAGTTTGTTTAATTATGTTTACCAGTTCCCTGGTAACCATAGTTCAAACATTGCTTAGTTTGGAATTTGACAACGTTGTGTAAAAATATGCCATGAAATATTAATTGACTAATTTAAAATACGCACGGGTGCAATGCAGATATTGAATTTCTCGGCTTTGATATATGTTATATGCATCTATAGTACTTCCACTCTACCTTCCGCTTGAATCACTCTATCTATTGCTGAAAACCGCATTAAAATCCGTTGGGTAACATCGCGAGCGACTTTGTTTTATATTATGTATATAAATATTATTATTTATTATTTACAATCCACGACGCAACGCTATACATGATAAAATTCAACCAGGTCCTATTATTGGAGGCTGGCCCAAGGAACAGCTTTCAAATAAAGAAGAATTATCAAAATCGGTTCTCTCACTCGAAAGTTTTGAGGTAACAAACATAAAAAATATAGTCGAATTGAGAAACTCCTCCGTTTTTGAAGTACGTAACCGTAAAACTAGTCTCTAATAACAATAAAAACTCGTATCCGGATTGTTACATCTTGAGCAAATACTTATAATATTCGGTCCTTACATATGAAATTGGCGTTGATCTTAAATATCTGGCGGTTGCCTAGGAATTACAAATTTAAATTTATTCCAAATTTACGCTTATGTATTTGTGTTTCGAATTGATTGATGCAGAATTCGAACTTTGACATCGATCTCTTCTTAATATCGAAAACTTAAAATATCACGTAATTTACGGGTACGAGCTCCACCATTAATGATGTATATAGGACAGCTACTGTCTAACAACGTTCAAAAGTTTTTATTCTGGAAATATTTATGGACAGAGCAGAACAAACTCCATGGACGGAGACTCTATCTAACAACTAACAATTAAAGGTTGTGAGCGCTTACAAAACCATTTCAATTCACTCGAAACAAATTGGAAAAAAACCGTAATAGCTCCGTGTCCGGGCACTGTGTGTGCCGTCACAAATGAAATTCTTAAGTGTCGACTTATCACATGCACGGCGGTGAAAAAGAACATCGTGAGTAAACCTGCATATTTTCGAAATAATAACAAATAAAAATTTTCAAAGACATATGAAGTTACTCGAGAACCTTTCTTTCTCGACAGTTGTCTTGTTCTACGAGCTAATCCTCTGAGCTATGTCGGTTCCCTTGGTCTACTGCGGACGTTTTCGTTACGAACTCGTATCATGCAGATAAATAGCAAGCATAGCCCGCTCCATAGCTCACTGAGCGACTTGAGTGGCAGCCTAGATGGAGTGACGAGCTGTGCAAATATGCAGGAAGTAAATGGATGCAGGTGGCTCAGGATCGTACTTCGTGGCAGTCTATGGGGGAGGCCTATGTTCAGCAGTGGACTCAAACAGACAGAAATGATGATGTTGATTTGAAGTCCGCCAATCCGCATTAGAACCGTTTAGTGGACAGACAACAACAACACAGACATAGTCAGACAGACAAGGCATAGTCCACTACGCGGCCTTAGCCCAGCAGTGGGATATGTACAGACTTTATTTTTTACTTTACTTTTTACTTTTAAATTGGAAAATATTACAATATACGCGAAATAAAAAACCCAGTGTATATTTTTATAATTATTTTTATTTTATTGTAGTACATCATTGAATTAAAACTTTTTGTCGTTCTGTTACATTTTATTAGAACTGTGACAACTAAAACAATCAATATAAAATACAATACGCATATTATTCTTGATATATGTAACAACCCAATCAAATTACAAATCGCTGTTCTGTAATATTTGACAAGATTCATGAATTATTTTTAAAAGATAGACGTAAAATACATGAAAACATAATTGTTAGACGACAGACAACTAGATAAGTACATAGATAATTATAACTGCAATGGATATCTTCCTATTTTACGCCTAAAAAACAAACGATGCGGGTTGGCTTCAATAAATATGTTAACGTAATATAAAATTATGTTAAAAATTTTAGTTAGGTAATGAATGGTTTTATTATATTTTATTTATTTCATCATACAAGAAGTTAAGAACTTATTTCTTAAAAAATATCTTTCAGCAACAACAACAATCTGACCAACAGTAAAAAATAAATAAAAGCCGTGGATTTACTCATATATTTTTACGAACTATCAAAAATCTAATCATAAATCCAAACCGCAGAATTTCTCTCTATAAAAGCTTGGTTAGCCAAAGTTGAATAAAGAAATTTATAATTAATTTTTTTTGAAGCAGTCAAACCTCCAACAGGAACTTATAAAATTCTGTGAATGCTCCAATCCGAATCTATTCGCTTCAATTAAACAATTTTAACTTCAGTACGCCCATTTATTTATCTTTAAAAGTTAGTCAATTGCCTTTCAAAGGCTCTTATTGTTAAATCCCTATGGAAGTTAATCAACCGATTTATCCTATTTTAAGCAATTGACATCACAAAAATCATTGCATTTAACACCGCAAATGTGCCTGACGCTGAACCTCGTTTTAAAAGGATATTTAAATGTATACGCAAAAATGTGGTGGGAAAATTTAAATAGTAACATTCGTATTTTTACTTGTAGATGATCGTATTTTCTAAATAAAAAATAACTGGCTAATGACTCACACAACATAAAACGATAATATTTCCGAATAATTCCCAGGCTAAACAGCGCATAATTTTGATTGTTATAGTGTGGAAAGTATATCGTAGATGTAAATCCTTGTAAAAATATTTCACAATTACAATCAGCTTATCGATACATAATGAATTACTTAATATTCCTAATCTGTCTTGTTTCATTTCCTTTCGGAATTTATCGCGACATAAATCAAATACTTTTTCCGATACTTGTTAGTTTAAAGTAAGCCAGGAATATTTCATACTTTATAGTAGTATAATATTCTAACACAGCGTTTACCATTTGTTGGGACGCGACCGGTTACAGGGTCAAAATAAAATGCCAAACATTCCCGCCTTGTTTCAAAACAATACTATCTGAACAGGTGCTGGGTTTTCAATATTATTTTACCATTAAAATAAATACAGAAACCTACTTGGACTTTGAACCAGACCGGATAAATCTTTCATTCTCATCTCATCTCAATTCGATGTTTGTTACCTCAGAACTTTCGACTTAGAGAATCGACTTTGACGATTATATTTTTATTTGAATGCTGGTTCTTCCCATGTGGTCCCATATTAATTTCATTTGTATTGGATCTTGGGCTCCGGAGATACGTAGGGAACCCCTAAAAATCTATTATAAAATGAATACAGCGCGAGATATTTGAAGACGGTTCTGATTTTCGTTAAAAAACATGTCCATATTTTTATTAGCGAAAGAAAAGTCCATATTTTTATTAAAAAAAAGAATCACCAAAATTGGTTAACACAGTCGAATTTTCTAAGATAACAAACATAAAAAAATACAGTCGAAGTGAGAACCTCCTCCGTTTTTGGAGTCGGTTGAAAATTGACTTGTTTGGAACAAAAATAAGTAGCTCCAAACTTCGCACTTAATAACCGATGCCGAAACGTAAAACATAATATATCGCAATATATTTTAAAATACTTCTAATGGCAATAATAGTAGCAGTAAGAGAGAGGGAGACTTTTTATATAAATAATCATAAATATTTTTCGACTCACTTGTCGCAAAACATATGTAGATGACGCATTGAAACGATTTTTTTCAGTTACAAATTTATTTCTTACATATAACAATAGAAGTTAGAAACATGATAAAAGTATAATTTAGGCATAACATAAAACTTAACTAATTAGGGCCTCGGTGTTACAAGGACGAGTATTGGAGTGAATTTGGGGTCCCACCCGCCGTTATTGGCTTGTGGTGTCTTGTCTCCACTCTTGAAGGTGTCTGAGATTTTAACGAACACGTCCTTGAACTTTTTCTCAGTAGTCTCATTTGCGATGGCGCTGTCCACGTCCTCGATTGTGGAGCCAGTCGGGATTACTTGCTTGCCCGTCGTGTACGGCGTCTCCTTGCCGTATTGCAGGTCCATGAAATCGTTAAGAATACCTTCTAGAACTTTCTTCGCGTTCGCGTTTGTGGTCGGGTCTCCGATTCCGTCGGAGAGCTCATCGATGGTAATGGTTGGGAGCGACATGTTTATTTGTCTGCAATAGGAACAAACGATGTAATTTTTATTACTTTAGTGTCTTTGTTTAGTTTTGTGTAAATATATAATAATGTAAGATAGGTAAATAGATAAAATACTATTTATTTTATTAGAATAATTTTCAAATTACGCTTTCTATTTTATATTCATACATTTTAATAGCATATGCATTAAACCATTCTTCGAACTTTTATAGTTCATTGGAAACATTTTACTTTATATGGAAAATCCATTAGCATGAATTACTACTTTCCTAAAACACCGGAAAAAAAATTTTTATACTCTGACTCCCGCTTGGTCTTAACACCTAGCTAGTTAGTCTTAATTGAGACAGAACGGGGTCTTCTAAAACTTATAAAACAGCAAATTAGCATGTATCTAAGTGTTTGTTAAACCATATATAAAGAAACGAAATAAAATAAATTATATATTTAGTAGAATAAAATATCCATAAATTAATTGTAATTATGTAGAAAACCTTGCACCCTTCTTATTCCAATGTCATATTTACGCTAAAGCAATAATATAAATTGAAAAACCCATAATTTTTCAAGAACAAAAGTTAATAAGAAATAGCGGACAAAACCCAGCGAATTGGCAGAGTAGGCAGTAATTTTTTTTAGAAAATTTGTAAAGTAGGCAGTGAGGCCTCATTTTTTAGAATCTTAGGAAATTAGAAACCAATCAAGTACAGTTCCTTAAAGCTAATGAAATATTTTATCTCTGCTACTAATCTTTAGTAATTACAGCCATTTGAAAGTATGCGAGTACTGTCTACGTAAATAGTTAATAAAATTAATTATCTGGATTAAGATAATATTAAGAGATTTGGAGCTAGATATTAAAAGTAGCCATTTGCAAACAATGTATCAGAATTTTCTTTCAGAACCTGTGAAACTATTCTGATCAAAAGAGAGAAAAACTTTAAGCCGTGTGTAACACTGCCTGGTTAATGCTTTCGTCTAAGGCCTTGTTATTTTCGTTAACAATTATTTGATATATAACTAACATATTGATTATATAGTGCAGACTTATAAATTAACGACACGCTAACAATAATGTGATATGCACACTATTTGGCAAAGCAAATAAATAAAAAAGAACTTTTTCTTATTTATAGTGACCATTAAACCTTAAGTCAAAAAAGGAACAATTTCATAAAGCCACTAAAACATCAAACTGAATATCAGTTATCAAATAACATCACATACAAAAGTATATAAAAAATATGAATATTCTGTATAGTGAATACAAAAATTTATAAAAATACAGTATAAAGCTGTAAACAAAAAAATAATAATCTACAATTTTTTACTTTAGTTGACTTGTGCAAAAGTAAAACTTAACGTTCTTACTAATATTATGTTAATTCTACAATATTATTTACAACAATTTATAGTAAAAATAATTTGAACAATAGCTATATATATATATATAATAAAGCTTGCTAACAAATTACTAAAACGTTTTGCTCACATATTTCAAGTAATATCACAAATTGAATTATTTGAAAAAAAACTTACTTTTTTTAAGGTGACAAGTATTGTAAGCCTTGTTAAGCGTTGGTGCGTACTGGCGTCAACTTGTTTATTCCCGGTTTTATAAATCACGGACAATCAAGCCCTCGAGATATGGGAGGGCTTGTCTTGTCACCATATCTATCGCTACACCGAACTTTATCGCGCGATACCGAATGTTTCACATTCTGCGGTTAATTTTTCACATGAACTCGTTTAATTTTAGACATGTTACGTATCATAGCAATGACTTATTTAGCCCGTTTTTGTAAATTACGAAAATGAGTGTGGTAGGAGTTTCTTTCAATTTTTCAAGTGTTCAATTTTATAAGTTAATTAGACACAAGCTTTTTCTTCGGTAATCGGATGTACTACTTTTCAGACGTAACATTTTATGTATTGTTAACATGTTTTTTAGAAATAATAGAGCGATAACAATCCAGTTTCACGAAATAACCTTGGCTTTGTCGCATTAACTTCATGGAGATTTTTTTAAATTGTATTTTTTTTAGATAAATGAACAAAAATTTCGGCAGTGCGGGATTTGAACGTGTGTTTTCTGGTTTCGCATCCAGACACTTTACCAACTAAGCTAAGCGACAGTAGATAGAAAATTATTAATAGTTCACGTAGTTATTATTACACTTATTTTCTTACTAGTTTTATTTTTTTTTAATATTACAAAATAGAATTATCCGATGTGTTAATGCTACGTCAAGATATCTTCATTTCTGACTCAAACTTATCATCAAACACAGTGATTAATTATTTCACATACGTAACTCCTAAACTACCGCAATACAATTCCATCCAAAAAGACAATAGTATAGCGCTATGTACCCCAGGAATATAAATCGCAATTACGTGCAAGAGTATGTGAGAAGGCATTAGTTCCTTGTTGGCTTGCCTCCTTTTCCATAAAATAAACTTCATATATTAATCAGCTATGCTTTTTAAGCATTGTTACTTTCTACGATGTTCCAATAACGGTTACGATAAGCTGAAATATTCGCCAAATTTAGTTCATCACAAGTGTTTTTTCTTCCATATCATTCGCAATTTTTTGCCGAGTGTGTACTTTAGATATGGTTTTTAGGGCAACACATGATGGCTCCGTCTTATCTATGTTAGTATTTGAAGAGTGTAGTGTTCCCGGTTATTTTTAAGCTAGTTCAATACTAAATATGATTGAAGACGATTTTAACACCCCTTTCAACTTCTGCGCAATTTTTAATCATATCTTTGGAATTTTGTGGACTTACAAAAACCCATTTGCATCTCAAGAATCGAAATAGTACCCTGGGGTGTAGCAGGTGTCCATGCGGCGGTATTCACTTAACCTCAGGCGAACCATCTGCTCGCTTGGCAATATTTCACATAAAAAAATACCACATATCATCTGTCTTATATCCACTAATCACTGCCTACTATGTTCATCCATTGCATTCATCCCCCTGCCCTAAGCCCACCAAGGTGGGGTGACACATCATGTGAATCATTTTGTAAGCGGTTTTGGCAGGTTTTTACGACCGGCCACCTGCCCGAAGTCAACCCTCCTTGGGAAACAAACACCCAGATCCGGAACAATTATCTGTGAGTCACACAAATACTTGTGCCGTATGGGAATCGAACCCACGACCCCCGGCACCGAGGCCAATAGCTTAGTGACGGCGCCACCAAGTCATTGCCTTTTCAAAATTTCAATAAATATATATGTATTTATTGAATTTTTCATGACTATTCATGTACCCGCTGTTAGCCGCCGCTCGGCTCGATCGGAATTTGATAAATAATTATCCGTGAGTAATAGAATGGCCTGTACATCATGCTCAGGCAGTTGAATTAAATTCGAATCAAAATGTATTTTTACGTTGTATTATTTATTTCTATTCTTATTCTTTGCGGCGAACTAAAGACTCCTCGACTTTCCTTCTATACACCGACGTCCAAAACCAGCCGCCGAATTAGAAAATACTGCGCTGATCAAAAACAATTAAAATAAAAATCGTAAACAATTTTACAATATATAGCTTGAGAGAATGGGCTTTTGCAGTATCCACAACCATAACTACGTGGATATTTCTATCATTTGTATTTCGCCCGGAAAGTAATTACCTTTCAGATACACATAAATAGTTTTTCTACTTTTAAATCAAATGAAAATTTAATGCATACATTTTAGCCACCTATCTTATCACTTCACCTCCCACCTCCTGTGAACCGCCATCTAACGTGCGTATATCGATATATTCACATTCGTCACATTATACTCTTTCGCAGTATTGATAACTAGTTACTTATAAATTTATAGGACTCTCCAATTTACTCTCGAAGATAAATTTTGACTGACGTTCCGTTTGGTCCCCACATACCATTTAAGGTCTTTGTTCCGCCAAGATTTAAAAATAACTTCTTCACCGACCTTATAAATAAATATGATAATAAATTTTACGAAGTGGATATCTTTCATAACCCTCTCAATAATTTTAAAAACAAATTATTACAACCATTGTTTTTACATCGTGTTTAACTTAGTATTATGTTTTTTGTATTCATTGCTTTTGATGCTGTTTTAGTGCTCATTTTTTATCCGTTTTTTATTTGCATTATTCAATTAATTATTATTTATTCAGGTCAATATAATGTCTTCATACTCGTTACTTAAGGCACTTTTTGTCTCTTATAATTTTATAAATACCTATCATCAACGTCAATGGAAGAAAACATATATTTGCACCATGTCAAATTTGGATAATAAATGGAGTAATTTGAAAAATGGAAAAATTGAGCTAGCGGCTCGTCTAATGGTCAATTTATGGCCTATTGGAACAGCAGAAGGACCACTAATTTACAGATTTTGTCGTCCCACAGGCTTTGTGGGATGTCCACCATGTATCACTCTGCTGGGCAATAGCCTCCTCTGCACGGAGCGCCACGCATCCCCATCGCGTATTGGCAGACTTCACATAATTTATCTTTAAAATGTCTTTTTTTATTATTAAGAAAATATGCTTTTCTTAACATGTTTTTCTTCGGAACGTGATGACTTAGGCCTAAAATTGCAATTAACAATTTCATTGGTTCCGACACCGGAATTTGAACAGAGATTCGAGAGCTCGAGTAAACTGAATTAAAGGTGTGCGCTCAGAAACTGATGTCCATGGCTACGTTATTTAGTTCAATATAAAAAATCTGATATTTTATGGTATTTGTATATGTTTTAAGCATTCAGGAAGTATAATAAACTGCGATGAAATCCGTACAGTAGTTTTATCAACATGTAAGTGAAGATAGACTATTACGAATAGTCTTTCTACAAAAAGTTGAAAATACGACGATATATGGCAATATTACTAGTAGAATCCGATTCTACAAAGATTCTACTTCCTTATTCGTGCGACGCAGCAGAATTGTGAATAGCGTACGACGATGGAGCACTGTCAATAAATTTAATAGTATTTGAACGCCTTTGATGCTGCAGAGTTCTGTTGATGACATTTTTATATTACGATTTAGATTGGAAATTATCCTTAGCCTCTATGTTTACCGCACTCTATTAATTCTTGCGTTTACATTGACTCTTACTTTGTTTATAAAATGATTAATTACTTGGAGACAGACACAGTGATAAATATTTGTTAAACGAAAGATTCCCCAGTGTAATCTGTTTTCCAGTCCGCAAGTAAAAAAATTTTTTACAAAATGAAAAACAAACATCCGGATTTAAGAGAACTATATTTTTAAGGACCGAATAATAATGTTCTTGAATAACTATTAACATTTATATACTTTTTATTTTCCGATCACAGTGTTAATTTTCAAAATAAAAATTAGGTACATGAGGATATGTTACTAATACATATTTCATGTAGCATAATTAAGCAATATATAATCTCCTAACGAACGATACTTCAGCCGGCATAAGGCCTGAATGTGTCGAGTGTTGGGCTACTGGTCACTATTATTTGGGCGTAATCTCGACTAGCAGAAGGCTGGTCGGTGGCGTGCCAATGGGCTAACCCACATTATTACTGACCACGGCAGCCATATTGCAGTCGAGGTGTTGTGCGGAAAAACGATATTGTGTTTAGCTCGACAGAACTGCAATTGGTTCTCGATTGGCAAACAAAGATAAGTTGAGTGCAAGACCTTTCTTAAACCGCGGCGACAAGACAAGCATTGAATTACTAACTGACCCGGAAAACGTTGTTTTGCCATATAAATTATTTGTATGGTAGAAAAAAATGTTTGGGGTGTGTAACATTATTGTCTATGATTATTACTATATATTGGGTCGTTCATAGATATTACTTCCTTCTTATTCTTGTCAACGCCCAACGTGCATATCATGTAAGTGATCAAATAAAGTTTATACAACTAAACAAGTCTTCTTTACTCATTTACAATAAAACATGGTGTCAGAAGTGAAAAATTAATACAAATACAAGAAAAAATAATATGGCAGATCAGTCTAACATAATAATTTCAAACACGCTACGACCTCTCATTGTCGACGGACAAATATGTGAAAGATGGCGGACATGGAAGCAAAAATTCGAAATTTTTATGGAAGCAAACGAGCTTGACAACCGATCACCAACCAAACAAGTCGCAATCCTTTTAAACGCAATCGGCGACGAAGGATTAAAGGTATTTAATTCATTCAATATTAACAGAGCAGATTCTTCATTAACCTTAAAACACGTGTTCGACAAATTCGACGCAAAATTTAATCCATGCAAAAACGTGACCGTCGAAAGATTTAATTTTTTCACAAGAACACAAAAGGAAGGTGAAACAATCGATGAATATGTCACAAGTCTGACCAACCTAAGTCATTCATGCGAGTTCAAAAGTCTCCAAAATTCTCTAATAAAAGACATGTTTGTTATTGGAATAAGAAGCCGTAAAATCCAAGAACATTTGTTACAAAAGGACAAGTTGGAAATAGAAAGTGCGGCTGTGCTTTAGTTTACGGTCGCACGATTTTCGTGATAATTTTAATTTTAATAGGTAGGTAACAGGTTATTGAAGTAAATGCTAGAAGGATTTTCTGCGGAAACTTATAGTTTTCGAGAAATTAATTTTTTAAGTTTTATAGGTTAACTACTAGGAATCGTATAGAACAGTATTGTTTTGGCTTTCGGCCCTTGACATTTACATAATGACATTCTAAAGCATTAGAAAGAGACAACATAATGGTTGCATCTCCTTTTACCGCGTGTTATATTTCAGACCTAAAAATTTTTTTGGCTGTATATGGTAAATCTTTGCTTTAAAAAAAAAAAGGAAACACTGGCTGTCAATGTTATATGATAGAATTGTTCATTCCATTGCCTTTGTGCTCTTGGCGTCGTTGTTTTTCGTGCGTGAGATTTGTTTTGTTATTTGCTCCCAACCTGACCCTTGCATTGTACCTTGTGACTTGTACCTGTTTTGACGATTTTACCTGGCATTGCATTTGGACTACGAACCTTTCAAGAACGACGACCCTTGCTTTCATATACGGACCTTTTTTTTTATTTGAGATGGCAGACAATAACCCTCAGCCGTCAACTAGTGCCGTTTGTGACGCGCGCGCTTCATCGTCATCCGAGACTGAGGCTGTTTATACCGACGGAGTATACGAGCATAGGAGGTTGCACGCGGAAGAATTGATAAAAATGCCGAATTGGACCATGCTTTTTAAAAAGCTACAAACTCGGGAGCAATGTGTGGAGTTCGCAGAAGAACATGGCCTCCCTAAAAATAAAATGTGCCGCCATCATCGCATCCCGATGCGAATTACATATGGCAATTGTAAGAATGTTGGCCAATTTATATGCACTAAAGGCAACTGTCGGGCACGCTCGAAAGTTTCTCGAGCTAAGGACACGTGGTTCGAAAACGTGAAGTTATCGATGCTGCGTGTCTACTTTTTAATGTACGCCTTTGCCCACCGATGGTCATATGACAATGTAATATTTGAAGATCCGGAGAGAGATACGGAAGGCTGCCTCTCAATGGCAACAATAGCCGACTGGTATAGCTACTGTCGTGAGACAGTAGTTATATACCAGATAAATGTACAAAAAAATATAGGTAAAATTGGTGGCCCTGGCAAGGTGGTCCAAATCGATGAAAGCAAATTTGGAAAGAGAAAATATAACAAAGGTATTTATATTTTTTAATGGTCTTTTAAGTTGGCTAAGTTCTTTGATATCATGTTTGACAGCCCGATTCAGAGCAATCCGACTGACAGATTAGGTTAGAAGGTTAAGGCGGGAGCGAAGCTCCCGCCTTAGCCTTCGTGGTTATTTTTTTTATAACCACCCAGAAATACTGGCCCTACATAGCAGGACTCAATTGACCTAGCTTGGTAGGTAAATAATATATATTGATATACAAAATGTTTAAGGCGAAACTGAGTTCATGGAGACGGATATTATTTATATTTGAATTGTTTTTTTAAATAATATTTTTGTGATTTGTTCTAGGACGACACATTGAAGGCCATTGGGTCCTTGGACTTATTGAAGATGGGAGTGAAGACCTTCGGCTAGAAGTTTGCCCGGAGAATGTGCGCTCAGCAGAAGTGTTGGTGCCCCTGATCCAGAAGCATGTGATTGAGGGGTCAATTATACATACAGACTGCTGGCGTGCATATGATTGTCTGGGTTCTTATGGATACATCCATAAAAAGGTGAATCACTCGGACCCAGACAATCCTTTTGTTGCTCCAGATGGAACTCACACACAAAGGATTGAGGCACAGTGGCGTGTCGTTAAAAAGTTTTATAAAGATAACATAAATAACCCTAAAGATTTTTCTGATAGTATAGTTGAATATATGTGGAGACGAAGAATACAAAGAAATAAAAAAGATTTATTTTTATCACTTATAGAGGCCATAAACTTTGTTTATAAATTTAAATAAAGAATTTATTTTTACTCTTTTGTTTTATTTATGCCTACATAGTTCTCTATATAATATATATATATATATATATATATATATATATATATATATATATATATATATATATATATATATGTATATAGAGTTCAGGCCAGAACAAAACTGGCGACACGTCAGGTTTGGTAAGAATTGTGTCCGTTGAACATAGATCAGCCCCAGAATCGAACCCCTGTAAGTAAGAAGGTCGAATGTAAAGCGTCAGACGGGGTAGAGAGAAGATTAGAGCCTCCTCCCCACTTGATTTAAACAAATACCATATTAAATTAATCAATATCAATATTTTATAGGTTAGGATAGATTTTTTAATATATTTCAGAAACTATACGTTTCCGCATCCCTCCCCTTTTAGGGGGGGGTTCACCACTACCCCCCCTCCCCCCCCCAAACCCCTCCCCCCCCTCCTCCGCGTGCGACCGTAAACTAAAGCACGACCAATATAAATGTCGCAAAATATCAGCCAGAAAGGATTTCAAGAAGCATAGGGAGAAGGGATAATCGTTCAGAGTCATCAGCATCAAGAAACATTTCAAGTAGTCGCAGCCAGACAAGTCAATATAAGAAACAATGTTCTCGATGTGGTCAAATTCATAGATTTAAATGTCCAGCAATGGGAAAAGTTTGTATAACTTGTAAAAAACCAAATCATTTTGCCAATTGCTGTTTTTTCAAACCTAAACTTAATAAAGTAAGTACTGTCTGTAACAATTCACCCTTTGAAAATAATAACTTTATAATTAGCGCTATCAATAAATCACATCAGGATTGGCAAATTGATGGACTGTTATGGATATATATTAAAATGTCGGATAGATACAGGTGCTGATACAAATGTAATGTCTAAACAAACTTTTGAAACACTTTGTTCAGCCACAAACACAAAAATACCTATTTTTAACACACATAATAACATATATTCTTTTTCAGGCGAACTAATTCCAAATATCGGTATTTGTAATCTAGAATGCAAATTCACTAACGGTTTGATAAATAACTTACAATTTACTATTGCGGATTGCAATTGCCAGACAATTTTAGGATGGAAAAGTTGTGAGAAAATGGGTATAGTACAAAGATTATTTACTTTAACAGAAAATAAGCAACAACAGTCAAGGTCAGTACAAAACATTCTTAATGAGTATTCATCAATGTTCACAGGGTTAGGATGTTTAGTCAAAGAAGCACATTTAGATGTTGATCCTAGTATTCCTCCAAAAAATCTGCCCAGTTCGTAGGATTCCCTATTCTCTTAGAGATAGATTAAAACAAGAGTTAGATGAAATGGAAAAATTACATGTTATTGAAAAAGTGACAAAACCAACTAAATGGGTGAGTTCTATTGTTCTAGTACAAAAACCTAATGGTAAATTACGTATATGCCTAGATCCGAGAAATTTAAATTTAGCAATTCAAAGACCTCATTATCCTTATCCTACATTTGATGACTTACGTTCTAAAATAGCCGGTGCTACAATATTTTCTAAATTAGATGCTAACTCAGGATACTGGATTATAAAATTAGATGATGAAAGTAGTGACCTGTGCACATTTAACACACCTTACGGAAGGTACAAATTTCTTCGTCTTCCATATGGTATTAATTCTAGCGGAGAAATATTTCATAGAATAATGTCTGAAACATTTGAAGGTCTTCCCGGTGTAATAACATTCATTGATGATATCCTTGTATTTGCTTCTTCAGAGTCTGAACATAATCAACGTCTTGAAGCTGTTTTTAAAAGGGCCCAAGAAGCAAACATAAAATTTAATAAAACAAAATGTTCTTTTGGAGTCCCTGAAGTGTGCTATGTAGGACACATATTTTTAATAAAAATGGTGTTTCCCCTGATAAGTCTAAAATAGAAGCTATAATTAATATGAAAAGTCCAACAAATGTCAAAGAGCTTCAACGCTTCTTAGGAATGATAAATTATCTAGGTAGCTTCATTTCTAATTTAGCAGAAAAAAAAACTAATTTACTTAGAGCTTTACTTAAAAAAAAAAATATATGGCAATGGACAGAGTCACATGAGCAAGAATTTATAAAATTAAAATCATTAATATGTCAGGCTCCAGTATTAGTTCATTATAATATAAATAAGCCTATAAGAATGTCAACTGATGCTTCAAAAAAATGCTGTAGGAGCAGTAATATGTCATGAAAAAAATCCTATTGCATATGCCTCAAAGTCATTAACTTCTTGTCAAGAGCAATATGCTCAGATTGAAAAAGAATTATATGCTATAGTTTTTGGATGCAAAAAGTTCCACCAATATATATTTGGTAAACCTATCTTCGTAGAAACTGATCATCAGCCATTAGTTACTCTTTTTAAAAAGCCTCTGTCAGATGTTCCTACTAGATTGCAAAGAATGATGATTACATTACAAGCATACCATTTAATTGTTACATATAAAAAAGGCACAGAAATGTATATTGCAGATACACTTTCACGTTCCCCAGTAGACAATTCAATTAAAGACTTAACAAGTTTAGAAGAACTAGAGGACAATATAGAAATTCATGTCAATTTACTTACCTCAAATTTAGCTATAACTAAAGAAAAACTAGATAAAATATTGTTTCATACGAATAATGACATAATTTTACAAAAAATAAAAGAATATTGTAAAAATGGTTGGCCTAATAGCAAACAAAATTGTGATCCAAAAGTTCTTTCTTATTGGAATATAAAAGAAGATTTACATATTATTCAAGATATAATTTTTAAGTCTCAGTCAGTAGTAATTCCAATATCAATGAGACGAGAAAATTCTTTCTATTTTACATGAAGGTCATCAGGGCATGGAAAAAACAAAAAACTTAGCCCGAGGAACAGTTTATTGGCCAAACATGAATCATGAAATCGATGACTTAATAAAGCAATGTGATGTATGCCTTATGTATAGTCCTAATAAAATAAAAGAACCACTCTTGTCACATGAACAACCTTTATATCCATGGCAAAAAGTAGCAACTGATTTGTTTGATTATAAAGGAAAGAAATACTTATTAGTTGTAGACTACTATTCAAATTACATTGAAATAGCTTATTTGAACAATGATAGTAGAAGTTCAACAGTAATTACACAATTAAAATCAATATTTGCTCGACATGGAATTCCTTTACAATTAGTCAGTGATGGTGGTCCCCCTTATAATTCAGCTGATTTTAAAAATTTCTTATATGATTGGGATATTCAACACATAATGTCAAGTCCTCATTTCCCCAGATCAAACGGTCTAGCAGAAGTCTCTGTTAAAACTATAAAAAATATTTTTAGAAAATGTGATGAGTCAAATACAGATTATTATTTAGGACTTTTACAACACAGAACAACACCTAGAGGAAACATAAATTCCCCTTCACAACTGTTAATGTCGCGTCAGCTAAGAACCAAATTACCTTCTAAAATAGCTAATTTAAAACCTAAAGTTGTAAAATTTTCAATACATTCACAAAACAAACACAAAAACATAGATAAATCAAAGTTTTATTATGATAAAAATTCTCATCAGTATTCAGATTTTAATGATAAAGATTTAGTATATTTCAAAAAGAATCCTAAAGGTATTTCTTGGTCAAGAGGTACTATTGTCTCAAAGTCCAACTTTCCCCGTTCATATATTATAAAAGATGAATATGGCACTACTTACAGAAGGAATTCACAACACATCCGTCAAAGATACAACAAACAATCATCACAATCAGCATACATACCATCAGAGTCAGACAATCACACTAAGCCTAGTAATATTAATATGTCAAATAATTCTTTGTTAGATAAAGAGGATGATAGTATGATTGTAACAAGTTATTTTAAGTCAAAAGAAAATGTAAATCATAGTAATACTCAGCCACCTAAGTATAGTAGTCGAGGAAGATTAATAAAGAAAAGAAATGTGTTATATTTATAATTTGTATTTTAGTTCAAAGTTATAAGAATAAGTTTGTAAACACTTCATTGTATTTCATTGTATAAGATTGTCACATTCATTTCACTTTTAGGGAAATGTATTTAAAAATTAAAACTATATGTTAGTCAATAAAAGATATTTCCCTCATTTCATTAGTCTTAAGCTTTGATTGTTAATTTAATTGTTTTTAAAAATTGTTAACAAACAAACAAATTACTTGTCATTGTCAAATGTCAACGATAGTTATTTTCATTTGTAAAAAAGGGGCATGTAACATTATTGTCTATGATTATTACTATATATTGGGTCGTTCATAGATATTACTTCCTTCTTATTCTTGTCAACGCCCAACGTGCATATCATGTAAGTGATCAAATAAAGTTTATACAACTAAACAAGTCTTCTTTACTCATTTACAATAAAACAGGGTGGACCACCCTTAACATTTAGGGGGATGAAAAATATGTTGTCCGATTCTCCACCCTGGCCGATATGCACACAAAGTTTCACAAAAATTGGTCGAGCCGTTTCGGAGGAGTTCAATTACAAACACCGTGACACGAGAATTTTATATGTTAGAAGATTACAGTGTTGGTCTTAAATGCTCATCTAAGAATTAGAAATGTTTAAAATGGATTCTTTTTTTATTGTTAATCCGTTCTTTAACAAAATAAAACAATTTCTTAAATGCACCGACGAAGCATCACAATTATTTACTTAAGATTACTACATTATTCCATAGAAATGTCGGAGTTTTCCATAGGAAAAGCCGGATACTGCGTTTTCATTAACCAAACGGGGAATCTTTCTAAAAGGATAAATAGTAAAAGATCCTGAAATGGAAAAAACTATTTGATAATCAAACAATACGGACTTATACCTTTCCTAAATTAAATGACCTTCAGTTTCTTAAGATGACATTAATCAATAGAAGATTTCATTGCAGATAAGATAATATTGACAGCTTGATAATGGGGATTTCACAACTTGTTTCACATGATTTTATCTATACCACCTTAAAACAAAGATCTGTTTACAACATATCTGTTAACAATTTCATTGGTCTTGTCCTGACAGGCATATATCTTATCCTTTAAACGAGCAATTCTTGCATATATATATATATATATATATATATATATATATATATATAATCGGAATCTCGGAAACGGCTCCAGCGATTTTCATGAAATTTAGTATGTCCGTAGATTCGCGGGCGAAAAATCGATCTAGCTAGGTTTCATTTTTCGAAAATGCCCTTTTATCCCTGTTTTCAGGGAATGAAAAATATAATTCGAATATGACGGTAAATTTCGCCGCAAGAGAAAATGTCATAATAGCTCGGTCGGTAATCGGGCGGCCTCAAAACAGACGACCGTGGTTCGCGTCACGATCAATTACACATTTATTTTTTTACTTTTTTTTCGATTCCAGATCATTACTTTCTTTACTTTTAATTTTTTGTCGATTTGTTTTTTTGCTATTTTATTCCCTTTTTTTTTAAA